CGAAGAAAGGTGGACACGAGATGGTGTGCCAGCAAGGACGCTAGGCCCCAAACTGATTGGATTGGGGAGTTCCACATCAATTGGAGAAGAGAACGAATGCCAGCGAGGACGTTGAGCCTCAAAAGGGGTGAATTGTGAGATCCCACATTAATTGGAGAGGAGAACAAAACATTCTTTATAAGGGCGTGAACTCTAAAGGGAAACCCCAAATAGGACAATAGCGGCTTCCATCAGCATACGCACTCGGTTGATATCCCCCATCACTTGGCTTAACATTGTCATGTGGGGGAGATGTTGTCTGGAAAATGGTGTTGTGATTATGTCATTGTGTTTGAGCAACGTTAAAGATTCAACTCAATATCATCTTTCTCCTGCAGTATGGGAGTTATGAACGCCAAGTAATTGTTGATGATTTGAACACAAAATGGAGGCGACTTGTAACAAACACTTCGGTATATCCTTTTTCTTTTTTGCTTTCCTCCTCGATGACTGCTTGAGATTTTGAATGTGGTACCCTAATTTCTTTCCTCTTTTATTCATAACTTAAACAGCCTGAAACACCTCTGGAACCCTGTGCATGGTTGAATAAGCTGTTGATGGAAGTATGGCCAAATTATTTTAATCCAAAACTTTCCTCAAAGTTTTCATCCGCAGTTAATGTGAGTACCCTACTTGTTCTACATACAAAAATTTGAGTATTGACATCATTTGACTTAAGAGTTTCTCTATGCAGAAACGGTTGAAGGACCGAAAGTCGAGGCTTATTGTGAGTACACCTACTTTGGCCATTCCATCTTTTAGATGTTACATACAAAAACATAACCAAATTGCTCAATTTCGTGTAGGAAAACATAGAACTGCTGGAGTTTTCTCTAGGCTCGTGCCCTCCTAGCTTGGGTCTTGGTGGGGTTCGATGGTTAACTTGTGGTGGTGAGGTTGGACTCTCTTTGTTTTTCCATTATGTATAATCATATTTCTAGTTTGGTTGTAGTTTTCTGTGATTAAGACTTGAAATCTGAACATAGTTTTGTCATTGAGTTTTGACAGAGAATCATGCATTTGAATTTCGATTGGGACACAAATGAAATGAGCATTTTGTTGCAAGCCAAACTGGCCAAGCCACTTATGGGAACTGCACGGATTGTCATAAATAGTCTACATATAAAGGGTGATGTACGTATAAATTCTTTCCCTCTTCCCTCAACTGTGTACGCTCTAATTTTTCAGCATAAGTAGCACAACAAGATCAATTCATGAAGTATCATAGATTCCCTAAAGAGAGTGTGATCACATTCATTTGGTTTCGATTTCATTCACTTGATTAAATCTCAGGAATGCCATAGTGAGTCTCTTCCTATTGATCAGAATCATATAGCAGTTCCCTACCTTTCATACAAATGATAGTTTCTTAATCAGTCCTACCTGTGCCAAAATTGTTTTGGGTTATTTGATGATGTATCGGCCCAAGCCCACCGCTAGCAGATATTGTCCTCTTTGAGCTTTCCTTTTCGGGAGTCGAGGTTTCTACACTCACTCAAAACCGATGTGGGATCTCACAATCCACCCCCCTTCAGGGCTACTCGTTCCTCTCTCCAATCGATGAGGGATCTCACAATTCACCCCTTTCAGGACCCAATGTCCTTGTTGGCACACCATCTCGTGTCCACCTCCTTAGGGGCTCAGCCTCCTCGCTAACACATCACCCAGTGTCTGGCTCTGATACAATTTGTAACGGCCCAAGCCCACTGCTAGTAAATATTGTCATTTTTGGGTTTTCCCTTTGAGTGTTCCCCTCAAGGTTTTTAAAATACGTCTGCTAGGAAGAAGTTTTCACACCCTTATAAAGATTACTTCATTCTCCTCCCCAACCGATGTGGGATCTCACAGATGACATGTGCATTCCGCTTGATTTATTGTTCACGAGTTTTTCCTATGACTTTAGGATGTCTTGGGAGTTTCAGTTGCCACTCCACCATATAAAATCCACACTCACTCAAAAGTTAGCAGTGTCCTAAAATTTCATCTGTTATTTGGATTACCTTTACAGCTTGTGTTGATGCCTATTTTGGATGGGAAGGCAGTTTTATTTTCGTTTGTGACAACTCCTGATGTAAGAATAGGAATTGCTTTTGGAAGTGGTGGAAGCCAATCATTGCCTGCAACAGAGCTCCCTGGTGTTTCCTCCTGGCTGGTATAGTTCTACATCTATCACTGCTACTCCATTTGAGTATCTCAACAATCTGTTCTCTCTTATGCAGGTCAAAATTTTTACAGATACCCTGGTTAGGACAATGGTTGAACCACGCAGGCGCTGTTTCTCTTTGCCACCCGTTGATCTCAGGAAGAAGGCTGTTGGTGGTATCATATATGTGACTGTCATTTCTGCCAGAAAACTGTATCGAAGTAGCTTGAAAGGAAGTCCAACAAGAAGACAACAAAGCCACTCTTCTAATGGTTCATTCGGAGAGCATCTTAATGATAAAGATCTGCAGACATTTGTTGAGGTTGAACTTGAAAAGCTTAGTAGAAAAACAGATGCGAGATCAGGTTCAGACCCTCAGTGGAATGCCACATTCAATATGATCTTACACGAAGATACAGGAACTCTACGGTTTCATCTTTATGAGTATAATCCAAGCCATGTGAAGCATGATTATCTTGCAAGTTGTGAGGTGAAGGTATAAATTACTCGATAATCATACAAACTCGTTTAAGTTATATGTTCTTCGTCATGCTGTGAGATCCCAAATCGGTTGAAGAGGGGAACGAAGCATTCCTTATAAGGGTGTGGAAACCTCTTCTTAGTAGACGCGTTTTAAAACTATGAGGCTGACGATCCCACATCGGTTAGAGAGGAAAACGAAGCATTATTTATAAGGGTGTGGAAACCTCCCCTAGCATACGCGTTTTAAAAACCTTGAGGGGAGGCCCGAAAGGAAAAAGTCCAAAGAGGCCGAACTGTTACAAATGGTATCAGAGCCACAGTCACCAGGCGGTGTGCGAGTGATTAGCTAATTCAAAGTTTGTTCTCTATGAGCAGATGAAATATGCTGCAGACGATTCCACAACATTTTGGGCAATAGGACCAGACTCTAGTGTGATAGCCAGGCATGCTGAGTTTTGTGGAAAAGAAGTTGAAATGGATATTCCATTTGAAGGGGCCTTTTGTGGAGAGGTAAAATCTTTATAGTTTGCTAAGCTGCAGCAGCTGATTCTGTCGTGCTGACATACTATGTAATCCATGTCGTTGCTTGCAGCTGTCAGTGAGGCTTGTTTTAAAGGAATGGATGTACTCAGATGGTTCACATAGTTCGAACAGGTACCATGTTAGTCCACAACAATCTCTCTACGGGGCGTCGAGTTTTCTTTCGAGCACTGGAAGAAAGATCAACATCACAGTTGTGGAAGGAAAGGATCTACCAACAAAAGACAAGAATGGAAAGTGTGATCCATATGTCAAATTGCAGTATGGAAAGGTAGTTTTCTTTTCTCCTAATCTCTCAAATATTTTAAGAGTAATGATGATGCTAACCTTTTGATGATTGTTGTTTATGATTTCAGTCTCTCCAGCGCACAAGAACTGCTCACTCCTTCAATCCATTATGGAATCAGAAGTTTGAATTTGATGAGATCGGTGGTGGTGAGTATCTAAAGTTGAAATGCCTTACTGAAGACATCTTTGGCAATGATAACACTGGGAGTGCAAGGGTTAATCTGGAAGGATTAGTAGAAGGGTCAGTTAGAGATGTATGGATTCCTCTTGAAAAGGTGAATTCTGGAGAATTAAGGCTTCAAATAGAAGCCATCAGAGTGGATGACAATGAAGGATCAAGGGTATGTTTAACAAGCTCATATCTGAATCATATGATCCTTCATATCTGAATCATTCCTCCATGTCCCCAGGGATCAAGCTTGGCTCCAACAAATGGTTGGATCGAACTCGTTCTAGTTGAAGCAAGAGACCTTGTTGCTGCTGATCTCCGAGGGACGAGTGATCCTTACGTGAGGGTCCAATATGGAAAGTTGAAGAAAAGAACCAAGGTATCTTTCAAGTTCTAATTTCATCATCAGCCGTAAGGTTCTTTATGAAATTGTTTTAATTATGAATTTTGTTGCAGGTTATGTACAAAACTCTAAGGCCCCAGTGGAATCAGATTCTGGAGTTTCCAGACAATGGCAGCGCTCTGCTGTTACATGTGAAAGACCACAATGCTCTGCTCCCAACGTCAAGCATAGGTGATTGTGTTGTGGAGTATCAAGGGCTGCCTCCAAACCAGATGTTTGACAAATGGATACCACTTCAGGGGGTTAAAAAGGGAGAGATACATATCCAAATCACCAAGAGAGTTCCAGAACTTGATAAGAGATCTAGTTTGGAATCAAAAACCAGTCTGGATTCTGAAATTTCCTTGAACAAAGCTCATCGGATTTCCAGTCAGGTCAGTTGTAGAGAACTTCAAATGTGTTTACGATCCAACTTTTTGTCATGATAGCTTCAAATCTCTTCTTCTTGCAGATGAAACAAATGATGAACAAGTTACAAAGTTTCATTGAAGATAGCAATCTTGAAGGACTTGCGACGGGCATGAGTGAGCTGGAAAGTCTAGAGGATCTGCAAGAGGAGTATATGGCACAGCTTGAAACTGAACAAATGCTTCTAATAAACAAGATCAAGGAACTTGGTCAGGAGTTTCTCAACTCATCCCCTTCCTCAAGTAGAAAATCATTTGGATAATAATCGGATCCATCAGAATTCTCGAACTTGCCAGATTGCTGTACAAATCATGATTAGGCATATGCATTTGGAGATTCTGATACAAGTGTACATGTTATTTAGATTGAGTCCATACATTTTCGTATAGGAATTCTTATTTATTCTGAACAATTGGGCAGAATTAGCTTCATTTGTTAAGGGTTTCAATCTTCCAGCGGTAACTGTTAAGCTAACAGCCCACAGAAAGAAAAAGAAAAAGAAAAAGGGAAAAATTGTATGTTGACAATTTAACAATATAGTTCTAAGCATTACAAATTCTTCTCAAATCAAAGTTTCTACATTTTAGTTTGATTTATAAAGTTTGTCTACACTCCGTAAAAAGTTGAAATTGTAATACATCAAATCTGCATAAGTCAAAGAATACAATAGTAACAAGACTTCCCCTAGCAGCCTAAAAACCATTTTGAGTTAACAAAGGGGGAGGGGAGAAAATCAAGAGAATCCTGCCCGAAGAACATTGTTCATTGCCGCAGTATCTTCTGTAGCTGAAGCACTTGATTCCTTTGCTCTGGAGGCAGGAGATTAATTTGTTCTGGTGTGAGACTCATGACTTGTTGAAGTAACATCTTCTCCATCTCCTGACTCAACTGAACCAAAATCCGGGTGAAAAGGGAGGGGAGAGACAAAGGTCAATAACAAAATGAAAAAGAAGAACTTGTCGTTCAAAACAGAAAAAAGAAAGTAATTAGAAAAGTACCGGTGGTGCAGCACGAGGCTGATTGCCAGGGCCCATCTGACCAAGAACTGATGGTATTGGTGGTGGTCCGGAGAGTTGCTGTGGATGTGTAGGATTTTCTGGAGGGCCAGGCATCCAAGGCCCTCTGTCAGCAGGCTTTGAACTTGCAACTTGATTCATGAATTCTGTACCTAATTTAGAACCTCCAGCCTGAGAGAAATATGCACCAAGCGAGATATTAAACAGCTAATACTGTGGTTATTTGACATTGTTTGTAATGGCTTTAATAATTTGGTCTACAAGAAGATGGCATTCTCAAGACCAGTTTGCATACGCAAACCCTATTGAAAACTTTTGAATAATTAAACAACAAATGCCACTCATACTAAACTTTTGAAGTGTTTGTCCTCCGTAATATCCGAAATGCAGAATACTTACTCGCCTAACACCTACCAAATCCACAAATGGAAACTCAATAGAGAACCGTGCAAGATCAAAGAATATCAAACCCCTTCCTCTTTCTCATTAGATACGACCTAACAAGACTATCTATGACATCCAAAAGATTAGAAGAGAACGAACATCATGACTGCTACAATAGTTTTCTTTCAGGTAACCCAAGTTCCACCATCTAATGTCTTACAGGGGTTATGCCAAAAATTAAACGCATAACTGTGTCTACACATGACAAATGCAAACACGAACAATTTCTACCAAGAACTTACAATTTTTCTGGTAAGAAGCCGAACTTTCATGATGAATACAAGGGTGAACAAAAAAGAAGCCCTCGAAAAACAAGCACTAATTATAAAAATGATTCTAATCTAAAAGAACAAAACCGATATCACAGTTACACAACGGTCTAGTGAACTAGTTATGCCAAAAATTAAAAGCATAACTGTGTCTATATCAGACAAATGCAAACACGAACAATTTCTACCAAGAACCTATAACTTTTTTTTGGTAGGAAACCAAACTTTCACGAAAAATACAAAGGTGAACAAAAAAGAAGCCCTAGAAAACACACACTAACTATAAAAATGACTCTAGTCCCAAAGAACAAGACCAATATCATAATTACATAATGGTCTAGTGAACTAAGTCTAAATGGAACAATTAAACCTCACCACTCCTAAACCTATTCTCTAGAATTCTCCATATCCCTAAAATACCTACCATTACACTCCAACCAATTACCCGACAAAATGACAAAGAAGCTTGCTTGCCACACCACTATACCCTTCTCGCTAAAAGGGGAGTGCAAAACCACCTCCCCCAACCCAATTCCAAGCCCCAATAACCCCAAAAGAACTCCACCACCAAACTGCCATCCCCACAGCAAATTCCACATGTATGGCTTACTAAATGAATAATATTATAAATGTTGAAAATAATAAATATTCCATAGATAGACATATTTGCTATACAATATTTTCCAGGATAAACACATTGTAATCAAGTAAAAAAAGAAAAAAAAAAGTACCTGATACATTGATTGAGGGGGTGGCTGACTAGGGAGTGCCGACTGTCCTGGGGCAAATGAATTTCCCATGCCAGGAGGGAGTTTGGTACCTGACTAGAACATTTAAAAAATAGATTAGAGAGGTTGAGAGATCATCTTCACTTGGAGACTTGTGTACTGTAAATCCAAAAGAGAATTTTAGCTTGAAAACTAAAACTCCGACTTACATGAAATATGGGCTGAGAAACATGCTGTGGGATGCCAGGAGGTTGGTAATTCATATTGTGGCCCATTTGAGGGGGGTAGTGCTGATGAAAATTTGGACCCGTAGGTGCTCTGGAATGTGAGGGCAATGGTGCCGGTGGAGGCAGGTGGGAAATCTCAGCTGTTTGTAATGGCTGCTGCAGCTGGATGGAAGCAGTTGAAATCTGGGGTTGATGAAGTAGAGGTGGCTGAGCAGCAGAGGGAAGAATTGGAGGTACATTTGGAATTTGAGAGGGTTGTGGCGCAGAACTGGGATTTGTCTGGGGCATATCAAATCCCTTGGGATGCTGTGGTGTCTGTAGGGGAATCAGAGGTGCTGACCGGGGCTGAATGTTAGTGGTAGGAAGAGTACTTGATGAGACAGGCATTGATGGTTGGTTCTGATATTGTTTTCTAGGAGGGGCCAAAGGTGGTGTACTTGTCTGTTCTTGCAAACTTATTTGAGCAGCTGATGTTTGAGTAGGCTGAATATTTGATTGTTGAGTTGTGTGAGTTGATGGTTGAGAATGCTGTGAGGCAGAAGGATGAACGCTTGGAATCTAAACAGAAGAATAACTTAGATGTATACCTATAAGCTGATTGAAAATGCAGAAAAAAGAAAAAGAAAAATAGTAGAATAACAATGGCACGCTACCTGAGGCGGTCGTACCATTCCAAGCATGATCTGCGCCTGGTAGATAAAACAGTAGAATCAATAATACTTTCAGTAATCAAAAGAGGAATTAAAGGTAAAACCTCCAAATGTGCTGATTAACTAGTAAAAAGGGTCCAGACTATTAACCACATAACTCAGTATACTCTAGAGAATAAATTAATATTATAAATAACATTTGCAGTCACGCCTAGTTGTTAAACATGATTCTGAACAAACAAATTCCTACACAATCTAGTGCTCAGACTTGACGCTTGTAGTAGGCCATACAAATATTTGACAGTCAATGCTGTCTCCGAGGGGGTAATAAGAAGAAAACTCGAGCTCCAGACTACTTTCGTCGTCTTCAAGAATACACGTCCTTGAATGCAATTGGGAAAGATAGGGAGATGCTACAAAACTTGCTTGATTTCACCCAGAATAGATAAATCCATACATTCAAGAATATGATCCACCAAAAGGTTTACTATCAAGATATTAAAATTAATCCTCGCAAAAGATTATACAAGTGTGCACATTACTAAGACAGATTCAATTTCCTCGAGGCACTAGCAATTATTCAAAATCCGGTTCACGTACAGCCCTATTTGTTAAAACTCGGCCAAGAGAAGCTTAACTGGCTAGCTCTAAATGATAAATGAAATGAACTTTTCTCAAGACACGAAAAACCTAAAAATTGAAACCTGGAAAAGAGCTTTGGTCAACAGCGGGTTTTGGATAAGGATTTGTTTCGCCTGCTGCTGGTTCTGTTCGATCAGTGTCTGCATAATAATAAACACAGCAGTAATCATTCCTCCGATATCCGGACATTGCTCAGAGACAAAGGTCGAACTCAGAAAGCGGACGAAGAGGGGGGACAGACCAATATCGATTCCGACAGCGAGAGAAAAAATAAGTACCTTCATTTGAGACATGATTTCATATAGTTGGTTCTTCGACATTCCCGCGATGCTCTCCGGCAGACCGGTGCCGGTAACTTGCTTTCCAGCCATGTTCTACGTTCCAACGCCAATTGGGACTGAGATTGTTCCTTCGCAATTTCTCGCCAACAGCGCAGCGAAACTTGGTTCGTATGTAGTTAATGGGCGTTTCTCTGAAGACCCAGCGTAGCGTTTGCTCGTCTGGAAGTTTAGAGATTCCCTCGGGCTCGGGCGACAGAAAATTGCAGAAATTTTCAACAAACTATTATGTTCTTTTCGTTGCAAAAGAAAAACATTCGGCCCAAAACATTGGGCTTTAGGAGGATTTTCATGGCCCAATTTATTGGGCTTTTTGAGGTACAATAATGGGCCGAGTTTAAATCTTAACTAATGTTCATTTCATAAAAAATAAAACATTCGGCCCAATAAATTGGGCTTTCTGAGAACAAGAATGGGCTGAGTTTAAATGTAACTACTATGTTCTTTTCATAAAATAGAAAAAACATTAGGCCCAATACTTTGGCCTTTTTGAGGATCAGTAATGGGCCTTTTAAATTTAACTATTTGTTATTTTCATTAAAATATTTGGCCCAATGGGCTCTTTGAGGAACAAGAATGGGCCCAAAATCAGAAGTCCATTGAACCAAGCCCATTTGTTAGGAAGCTACAAGGAATATGGGGGCGTTGTGCTCCCGTGTAGGTGCGAGAGAGCGATCCTGAGAACTGAGCAGGCAAAGAGAAGAGGGGAAAAAAACTATGGGGAGGAAGAAGACAGTCGAATTCGATGAATCTCCGCCGGATGATTTCGATCCGGAGCATCCGTATAAGGATCCAGTGGCGATGCTGGAGATGAGGGAACACATCGTGAGAGAGAAGTGGATCGAAATAGAAAAGGCGAAGATACTGAGGGAAAAGCTCAGATGGTGCTACCGTATTGAAGGGGTCAACCACCTTCAGAAATGCCGCCACCTTGTTCAACAATACCTCGATTCCACTCGCGGCATCGGCTGGGGCAAGGATGGACGCCACCCATCCCTTCATGGTTCTCTCTTTTCGTCTTAATTTCTGTTTAATTTCTGAGAAATATTATCATTTCTGCAATCTTTGGTTGAAAATGGAGATACTTCGAGTCGCTGATGGTTGGCTGTGATTGGGTGATGCTCATAAGTGGAAATATGCTCCGTTTTGGAAGTGTTGTTTCCTGAAATATCGTTGGTTTATAAATCCGTGGATATGTACTTTTCGAAATTAATCTGATTCATGTCAACCTTTTGAATTTGGTGCTCGTTGGCTAGATTATTCTTCTTTTTTTTTCTTCGGGTTTCCTATGCAATTTCAATGACCGAAAAAATGTGACTCTCCCTCCTTTATGATCATCTGATGCTGTTTCTTCTTGTTTTTGGTTAGGTCCTAAAGTGGAGTCAGTGGAATCGGAGTGAATCTCTGGGAGGAATAACGGTGAGTTCGAATGTTCGCAAGTTTTTTTTTTTGGCTAATTTTAGTACTTGATCGTACCGATAATCAAACCTTTTTTTTAGTCAGTGCTTGAATAAATTAACAGTGTATATTAGCTTGAATTAATCAACAAGCTCTATGCTTTATTTCGTCTACTGCTTTGAGGTGTGTAAAGAAGCATTAACTCAGATCAGTGGTTAATAATTTCACTTAGTTTTCTATTTCTCTGTTGAGTGAGAACTTTGTAGGAATGTACAGCAAGCTTTCCTAAAAATTTTCTGACTGGTGGCTTGTTTTTTAGAACGATTGAAATTGCTAACATGTCACTCGTTCACAGTTCCTTTAAGTGATGTAGGAGACACGATAATAACATTAAGTGGGGTGTTATTGAAGCTGAAGGTAACTCTAGGGGTGTGTCATTCAGTGGGTTCCTCGTAATTTGTTGTCCTTAGAAGTTGTGTGAGTTGGGGATATCGTCATTCTGTGGGATCTTCCTAATTTTTTGGCCTTAGAAGTGGTGTGAGCTGCTTCTCCTCATTTGTATAGTTTTGTTCAAGTTCACAATTAGTTGGAACTGGATTCCCCCTCTTGTGAGTGGTAACTTCTCTTGTTCCAATCTTTGTGCTTTACTAGTATGTCATTCTTTTATTGTCAAGAGGGTGGCTGGATATTTTTCAAGGATATCAAAAAATATTTTTAGTTGTAGTATTTTGGACCATTGGCCTATTCTTTTCAACGTTAGGGTTGCTGAGTGGGGTCTTTAGCTGTTCATTTTTTTTCAGAATAGAGTTATGAATGACAACCCAAATGAAACCTACATATGTTTGGTCTCAAAGAAATTGGATGTTTGCACTGTTGCAGACTTTTTCCCTTAAGTCTTACAATTGAACTATATAAAATCATAGCAAAGGTGCTATCAGAACATCTTAAAAAGGTTCTCCCTCTCACAATTAATGGATGGCCTTAGTCGCCTACTCACAAAGATCGAAGACGAAGGGCAGATAAACAGCTTTTAGATTAGCTTGTAGGCTTCATAATCAACCACCATCAGTTCGCGGACACAATCCTCTTTTTAGATTTGTTGGATATCTCTTCCATAAAAAACATGCTCAAGACAATAAAAACCTTCAAAAGAATCTCGGAACAAAATATCAATCTCCAAAAGATAGAGATTATGGGCATCATATGTTAGCACAAAATTATTGAAGAATTAACCAACAGATGACAAAAAAAAAAGGGGGGAATGGCCAAATATGTATCTAGGATTACCCCAAAGGAAAACCACAAATCCTTTTACTTTTGGAAGACTTGTAGAAAAATAGAAAGAAGGCTGTCAACATGATCATTATGTTTTACTACAAAAGGGGAAGACTCACCCTAATACAAGCCACACTATCCAATCTCTTCACTTAGTACACGTTTCTATTTGAAAAGAAAGATTATTTAGAAACTATCTGTGGGAAGGATGACACACGTCTTGTTTGATAGACCTTGTTTGATAGAATATCATAAACTTCCCAGCAGAAAAAGGAGGACTTGGTTTATTTTCAATGAAGAACAAAGTTCTACTTGCAAAATGGATATGGAGATACCATCACACAAAAAAATTGTGGAGAAAACTTATATTTCCAAATTGGTGTCCATTATGCAAGAGTGACAATGAAACACAAAGCCGCTTATTTATGCAATGCACATATGCTCAAAATTTCTGGACAAAGATTCTTATTATCTTCGGATGACATCTCATATTTCCTAGGGAGGTCAAGGATTTATTGTACATGACTTGGTCGCACCATCCTTTCAATAATGCAAAAACTCTACTATGAAAAAATTTCATCATGGCTTTCTTTTGGAATCTGTGAAAGAAAGAAATCAAAGAATTTTCACGAAAAAGACGCAAACTTATACAAAACTCTTCGATAATGTTGTTTATCAAGCTATATCTTGGTGTAAATTGTCTAATATTTTCGCTTCCAACAGTTGTACCCTCCCTCATTCTGTAAATTTTAAACATCAATGAAATTGTCTCTTTTATATATATATATATATATTTTTTTTTTTTTTTTTNATTTTAAACATCAATGAAATTGTCTCTTTTATATATATATATATATATTTTTTTTTTTTTTTTCTCCCTACCATGTCAAATAAAAGTTCTATTTTGTTAGCTTCTTATCATCCAATTATTCTGTCACACCACTTCTCTTCATATATTAAAAAATTATTTATATTTTTCTAATGTTAGCCTAAAAAAAATCCACGTTTTTTTTGTTCTTTTTTTTCCCGCTCCTTATGCTTGTGCCCCGGAGGAGTATTACCCTTTAGTGTGCCTCAAGATTTAAATAAACATTGGGTTGTTTCTAATCAATTGCCCTTAGGTGGTTCGTTTGTTGTAAATTTTACTCTTGAATAGCCTGTCTAGAAGTGAAGTCAACAATCCATCCTCCATACGTTGTGTTCCCCTCTTTGTCCAGATTTGAATGCTTGTTGTATTTGGACTCTTGTGTCCCCGGGGTGCTCTTGATAATCTCTCTTTCTGTATTTAGTTGTCTGAAGTTCTCCTTGACTATTTTTTTCTTGTTTATTTAGCACTACTACCAAGGAAGTTATCTAGAGTTCCTCGTGTGTCCTTCATTTATGAGCGAAGATTTATTTATATCCTGTTAAGATGTCATTTTTTGCGAAGATTTGGGATAAGCAGAGACTGTCATGATGGAGCGAGGAGTGTTGGAATCCACCTATTTGTCATGAAGGGGAAAGCCTCTCTTTTGAATTCACCCATTCATGAAGGAAGGGTTTTGGTAAAGAAAATGAAGCCCGACACACTTTAAATAATCTAAATATTCAATACACAATTTTTAGTAACTGCCCTCTATTTTTATTCTCAAACAATTGGGGGCCTCTTATTATAGTTGTATTATTTTTCTTGTTTGGGCTCCCTTTTCCTTTCAGCCTTATTAGTCTTGTGTAGCACGGTCTTTCTTTGTTCAGAGGGAAAACAGATTATTCAATTAAAAGAAAGAAAAAACAGAAATGGATAATGGATAATAAAGAAAAACTATGAACTTGAACTAGGCTGGAGTTTGGTCTTGCTGGAAAGAGTGATATAGCTACCTTTCCACTATAGTCTGAACTAAGTATATATTAGAACTGAATGGATGTTTCTTTTAATAATCAAACCAAATTTTATTGGGACAAAAAGTACAAAAAGGGCCACAACCCAACTATGAAAGGGACTACGAACAAAAAATTGCAAAAAAGAGCCCCAGCCTCTGAAGACTTGAAAATTCTTTGTTTCTTTCCTACCAAAAATTTCATAGAATAACAAATTAGCCAGCCTGCCACAACAAATAGCTTGTATCCTAAAAAGTAGTGCCTAAGATAACTTCATCATTGCACGACCTGAATTTATAACTGAAGAGCCTGCCAACTACAATGTCACGCCTTACTAGAACAATGGCAAAGCCGTAAAAGATGGTTTGAATCTTCCAAAGTACACCTAATACACTAGAGGACCGAAGAGGGGAAAAAAAAAAAAAAAAAAAAAAGATTCTTTTGTTGAAGTTATCAAAAATATTCCTCCTAAATCAGCCAAGAAAACAGCCTAATTTCTTCAGGATCTTCAATTTCCAAAACTTGGAGAAGAAAGGGTGGAGAGAAGAAATGAGGGAAGAAAATATTGGATGTCCAAAGTCTTGCAGGAAGAATAACACAGGGCTGAACAGAGACCCTTCGGATTACAACATATGAAGGATAACTGAATGCTAATTTGTACTTGCTAGTTATGTGGCTGATGCCTTTGGTGGTTCTTGCTTGTCATTATTTCTTATTCGGAGATGAAGATACAGGTTTTCGCATCTTTTGCAGGTGAACAAAATGGCTTGCAGGAAAATGTTCGGATGGCTTGCCTCCTTGTGATCTGTTTTATTATCAGGGCCTCATCAGCTGCAGTTTTTTTTATCATTATTACTTTCTTTCTTGTTTCAAAAAAGGAATATGCATGGATCACACACAGTACCATGGGCAATTGATTTACGTTAGGTTTCATGTTATTGCCTGCAATTGCCAATTACTTGGACATCGGAAAAACACCCAAATAATCAAACATCTGCCACTGCATGCTTCTGTTCAACTTTGTATTTGTTTTCTGTTAAACAATGGTTTCATCTGGTTGCCAGCTTTAGATATAATCGGAAGTGATGCTCCTAAAGTATAGCGGAAGACTTCATGGTCGATTCATTGAGTTTGTATAATTGTATTAAAGGTATATTTAGTATGCCTTCTAGTTTAAGCACTTTAGAGTCATTTTTTAATAAATCATTTCTCAACAGTTTCTTTAAATTAATCCAATTTCAGAAGTACTATACATTGATTAGGATTTCTTACCAAAATGATTTTGATCATTTGTGCACAAGTATTTTAAATCTTTATTTATGAGCTCAGATTTTAGATAGGATCCACGGATTGCTTCTTATCCGAAACCCTTCCTTTTAGATTTGTACGAAGCTCGAACCCTTCGTCCATGGCCTTCATCTCCCATACTGTTGCCTCCTTCATCTCCCATTCAATAGCGTAATTTCCGGGTTAGTATAATAAATTTGATTGATTAGACGGCCTAATCTGTTGGTTTATGAGTTTATTGGTGATTATTATTGCAACAGATGGACAGTGATTTATTTGATGGTGTTCATGCTTTTAAGGGATTAAATTCCTGTAGATAAGATAGAATAATATAGGTATGTGTAGTTTTTATTATTATTATTATTTTTTTTTGTTGGTCCCGAAATTCTTATATGGCCTTTTCTGATTCCCATTCCATTTTCAAAAAGGGAGAAAATAAAGGAAAAACATGAATAATTTGAATAATATCTCTGCGACTAACAGAATTGAATTTTAAGATTTGGAATTTGAACAAAGTGACCAAGTATTGAGAATATGCATCCATCTCATTTGTGAAAGCCCTAATAATTAAAATTTAGTTATCATTATTTCTTTTTTATGTTTAGCTCGGAATTTTTTTAGAATTTACGAGAAGCTTATAGATTTTAGAATTCAGATCCAACGTTTATTCTTGAACAATCCTATCATGGCACTTCATTGAATAATGTTTCCACTTCAAAGCCATGTTATAGTGAAACTTCTGCTTTTTTCACAAATCTTTTAAAACTTTTGGATCAAATTACAAACTTCCAAACACGTTATTCAAATAACGAATTTTGAATATTGATTTGCTTTGAGCGTTCAAGTAGAGAAAAGCCTGTATGAAAAAATAGTAATGAAAAGAGAGGTGTGTAGTGTTATTTTGATCTTAGGATTGTTCTTCCCTTTCCTCCCAACTTCCCCCATAAGCCCTTTTTGCCAACATCTTGAGCTGGTAAGCTATGATGCTCTGTGATCCATTTATTCCATGAAGCAATTAAAGTGATTTCTAGCTTCCCATATGATAAAAATGGTTGAACACTAAAGCATGCCAAATTTTAAATTATATTGATAGTTGGAATCTTTTTATTATATCATCAATTATAGTTCATGAGATAGGTAAGCTTTAAAGAAGGATAGAATCTTGTTGTTAGGGTGTCCTATCACTTTTTGTAATACTTACTTTCTAAAAATACAAATTTAAAGGAGTGGAAATGTTTAGGACATGCATCAAACTTTATTTTTCATTTATGCACGTAATAATCTCGGGTAGTTTGTTCGCTAGCAAATATAGTTTTCTTTGAACTTTTACTTTTGGGTTTCCGCTCAAGTTGAGAGGTTTCCACGTCCTTACAAGAAATGTTTTTTTTTTTCCTTTTCACAAACCTCATATAACATCTCTACTTTCGGTATTTCGGTTTCACTTTTAGAACTTTTAACGCTTATTTTCACACATTTTAAAGGTGACAAACTCAGCGAAATATAAAGCGTCAAGAAGAATAGCAAAAAATAGTAGGGGTAAAATATAATGCGGAGTTGACTCTTTTTAATTAATTACTATTATGAAGCTAATTAGTTATTAATAAGTTTCTCAAATGAAATTGACGGGAAAAAGACAAACATGTAGCAATCAATTCCATCAATATGTAGGTCAACAAATGAATAATGTATGTTAATGATTACCGTAAACAAAAAAAATTAAAAAAAAAAAGAATGAGCTGCTATTTTCAATTCCACTGGTGGTGAAGGATTTTTGAGAAGATATACTAAATTTATTCTAACTCGGGTTTTAAAGCCATGTGACAAGACAAGAGATCTTTGACTTTTTTCCAACATACAAAGGCTGAAGTCAGACGTGAATTTCACTCTTAAGCCCTTGGAAATAAAAAAAATTATTATTATTATTTGTTAAAATGCCCTACTTTATTGTGAAATTCAACTTTAAGCTTGAATGGAAAAAGGAAATATTCTTTTTAATGAGCAAAGAAAAGTACATATAACCACCACCCTCAAATAATGCAAATATTGCTTCCTTATCAAGCCATCCATCCTCCGCCGCTGTTCCACCGCCATTATCCTTCTCCATACATCGCTAACTTCCCCGACAAGCCACACAAAAACCACACAAATATGTCACCTTTCTTACTTTCAACTTGCCTTTTACATTATAACCTTAATTAATCTCCCAGTTTTATCATATTCATTGAATTGACTTTCCTAAATTTATTCTATGAGTTCGATCCCTCCTTGGAACCTTTTTTAATAGTGGGAAGTTCTCCATTTTTGTCAAAGGATCGATCCGACTTCCTCTAGCTATTCCTACGCTCCTTTTCACCCAACATTTGAGTATCGAGAAAGAGTCTCATTAGCCACTCCACCACCAATCTTTCTTCTGAGGTCGAGCCTAACTAGGTGAACCTAATGATCTGCAAGAAGCTGTTAAATGACCTCTAATGCGACTATCTTAACCCCGCTCACTTATTTCATGATTTACACAAGTAAACGAGTTTCAAATGTTTGAAAACTTGTTAGGCAAGTAAGCCTGTCCCTGTGTTGTCCATGCGTTTCATGGTCAAATTAACGTGTTTCTCACTTTACATGGCCGTCCTTACCTCGCTGTCTGTATCTTCCCCATAAGGCTTTGGCAAACACATGCCATAAAGAACAAAACAGGGGACAAAATCAGGGACAAAATCAGGGACTGTCTGTGTCTGTGTTACAAAACACAAATATATGCAGAGAAGCAGGCAAAACTTGCATTCAAATTAATCATATAGCTTAGCAATACAAATGAGAGTTGAAAAAAACAATCTTGGACGGCTCTAAAGCCCAGAGAAAAACCCAAGAATTCTCTCCCTCTTCCATACATTTATCGCAGATTGCACCCTCACGATGCTTTTATTTACTGTGCTTTTGACACTACTATCTCCTCTTCTACCTGCAAAACTTACATGCACGATATACTCAACGTCTCGTCGAACCATGAAAACTCCTTGTCGAATTCTATCTCCATTGGAGGAAGATCGAGCGCCCCGAGACTGCTTTCAATGTCGTATAGAGTACAATCCTCTACATAGTTCATATCGTTATATAACCGATCAAAATCGCTGCAGATCAACACATTGTCGTCGAAAACTTGAAAATCCAATTCCCGCGAATCAAATGGAAGTATCGGCATCGGCGTCTCGTCCAGGATGTCTGAAATGGACGGCTCATCTTTATAGATGGATTCCAGCATGTCTTCTACTCCATCTAGCATAACCATACATTCATCAGTGACTGAATGTTCTTCCATTGTTTGATCCACATTGAATTGTTTTACACTCTTGAGTCCATTGCTGCATGAGCTTCCAGCAGATAGATCAAGAACAGATGATGGTGAAGGATGCGAAAACATAGACATAGTTTCTTTAGATTCAGCGGTGTCGACAACGAGTGATCTGATCTTCTTCTCTCCACCGAGCTCACTGTTGTTCTTCTCCATGGTTTGCATACTTTCGAACTCGTGCTTCTTTGTCTGATAAGCAATAGCAGCTTCTTCTGCAGTGTTGTAAGTACCGAGCCACAATCTTCGTCGATGAATAGGATCTCGAATCTCGGCTGCATATTTCCCCCATTTTCTTCGTCGAACGCCTTTATACATCGACGACGATCGCTGTGTTTTTCCACTGCTTTCTTTTACATCAGCCTTGGTTTTGAATTTTGCAGCATCCGCATCAGCATCGGCATCAGCATTTTGTTTGTGTGAGGCCTCCTTGGATGGGTTACGGCTGATACCTGGAAAGGGTATCTCCCAAACTATGTTTTTAGCGTTTTGATTGAAATGTTCATCTTCTTCACTCGAGTAGTCGGTAGCATCAGGATCGTGTAACAGGACACGAATTTTCCTCACGGAATTGGATTTTTCTTGTTTTGGTTGCTTCATTTTCTTATCATCGTTACCATATATATCTCGGCTTACGAACTGCCTTCGGAATCCGCCCATTTTGGGGTTCAATTCTTTAACTATAATGAACAAATAAACGAAGCCAAAACTTGTTCTACGAATGATACTTTGAGAGGGTGAAAAGTTTTACGCTATCTTTAATGTCGATGAAAACCCACGACCCTGAAACAAAAATGAACCAAAATTGAGCAGAGAATATGATATCTGATAAAAGCTTGAAATCACTTCACTTCAGAACAAGACCTGTAGGTGAAAACGAAACAAAGACCAGAAAAAAGAGGGTTTCATAAGAACACCCATAAGCCCATAAGAAAATGGAGATTCAGGGATTAAACTCTAAAAATAAACGAGAAATATGCAGAACCCACATACCGATTTGATGTTGATTGCATGAAAAAGGATCGAAAGCTGTGATTTTGTTGAGAATCCAATTGCATGTGAAGGGTGAAGAACAGAGACGAACAAGAAAAGCAGAGGTGCTTCAACGCTCCAGAGGACAGATGGAGCTCAAAAGACATAAATCCCTCCGCCAAACCCCTTTTGTGAAGAGAAAAAGAATCGACACACAAGCTACGAAACAAGAAACAAAGGAAATGGGTCAGAATCATGAACTGAAAATCATAGAAATATCCAAAAATCCCACAAAATACACAATCAATAGCCAAAAAAGTTCAAAAAAACAGAGAAGATTCAGTTCCCAATAGCTTCCATAACCAAGAAATCAAGTTTTAATGGAAGAAAGCAAGAGAAAAAAAGGGGGATTTGAGGGGACTCACTGAAGGCGTCAGAGAGTATTCTGGTTTGAGGGGGGTGTGTGGGCTTTGGTTGGAGGTGATTCTGTTGTAAATGATTTAGCCTCCAACACACAGCCTTTTCCCTCAAACTCTGCCCTCCCCCCTCTGTGTCTCTCTCAATCTCTGTGCGGACGGACGAAATGTGAGTGTGAAACAACGCATTTTAAGCTGAGCTAAAGGAGCCTCCTCGCCCTCGCGTGCCGCTTCTTGGGCCATCTGTCCACCCAATCCAATCTTCACCTCCGTTCCCCAGTCAAGCCTTCGTCTATTATTACGTCTTTTTTTTTTTTTTTTTTTTTTTTAATTCTCAGGTGGGCCCTTGCCAAATATCAATGGCATTTTAGTCATTTCACACACTATTTCAAAAACAGTATTCCACCCCGAGACCTTAAAACTTTCTATAATATCAAATACTCAAAATCTCACTCGCCCACCATACAATTTTAAATTCTTCCCACAATTTTCTAATATACCCTTTTCATCTTTTTCTTTTCTTTTTTCACTCCATTGTTCCTTCATTTTACTTATTCTAACCCATGCTTTTTGAATGATATACCTATGAACACAATCCGTATGTTTTTGTGTATCGCAACGTTATTGTATTATACGTCCACCTCTATTAGCTTACGTTCTTTAATACTCGATTGGATTATTCCTCGGCCTCTATTCCGATAATAACTCTTTGATTTGACGACTTTTTATTATCACTCGTATTATTCGAGTCATTGCCATATTCATGTGTCACATATCTTGAGTCACCCATTCACTGACCATGACGTATCATAAGAGGTTTTACTTTTATACTATTTAAAACACGTTGAAGTCTAAAACTTGGATCCCAAGTATAACGTTGTTTATGATAATACACTTTATACATGTTAATAATATTCACGTCATCTAAAAAACATAGAATATTCCGCATTTAAATTTATTAATTAATAAAATGGAAATAGGACCAATGGGATTTAATTGTATAATGATAAAATATAAAATTTTATTCGTCCTCCCTCATCTAGTATGATAGTGATTTAATTGTAGTTTTTTAAATTTTAATATAGAAAATGATTCCTCGTAGTTTCAAAAATATTTGATATTCTGAGTCAAATTTTAAAAAGAAATGAGAAATATATGTATAATAAATTTATTTATTTTTAATGTGTATTTTATTTTAGGAAGAAAATAATTTATATTGTCAGTCAAATGCAGTCACTTATGAAGAATTTATTGGAAATAAATAAAATGGTCACATTATTGCAAAATCTAACAAAGTAAAGATTCAATATTTAGCTTGAATTAGAAAAAATCGAAGGGAACTATAAAATTTAATGCAAATCAGTAATAATTGAGAGGTAATATAATTAAATACTTATATGGTTGAATAATTGCATTTATTTATTTATTTATTTATTTATTTTTCTTTCCAAAATTAATTTGGGAAATGGATGTATTAATTTTACCCAATTTAAAAAAAAAAAAATTGAAAACCCCTATGAGCAAAAAAGAAAATTAATCTCTTTTTTTACTCAAATTTTATTCTCACACATTTTTTTATAAATAAAAAAATAAAAAAGAAATTATTTGAATTTAAAATTGGATAAAATGGTTGATTAAGCTGAATTTATGCAATTAAGATAAACGAGAAAACGAAATATAAGTTTGAGTAGAGGAATTTAATGCCAAAAGGTCAAAGCATTTATCTACAAGAATAAGTTATCGTAATGAAAATGATTATAAAAATTTACTGTCCATTTATTCATAGGTTTGACTAAAATTTCAAAATATTGACTTTTTGTAACATAAAAGTACAAAAATAATGGTGGCAGCGTCTAGAATTTGTAGAATAGCCACAAAATTACAGCCAAATTGCCTTACATTCCACCACATCACGACAAAATCTCCCTCAATTACCATCAAAACCTCGACTTCTTCTCAAATATGCCTCTCTTTTGTTATTCCATCTATGGCAACCAATTTACTTCACATTTAATGCCTTTTTTTTTTATTTCTTAATTCCTTTTCTTTCTTTTTTTTTAATTCCCAAATATGATTTCATTTAAAATGTCTCGTATCGATACAGATAATGAATCTCGCTTTAGTAATTTCATTGTCCTAAATACTGCATATACTATTAGTCTGAGTGGCAATAGTTTTTTTGGAACGTTATTATTTATAGAAATATAATACCGGTTACGGTTACGTTAGGCTATATTAGATTAAGTTCGTTATTGTCCTATTAATAACGTATAACGCATACAAACGAATGATTGAAACGTCATATCAATGATGGGCATTTTTCAATTTCGGTAAACGACAATTTTTATGTGAATTTTTGTATATCAAGTAGTATCTGACATGTCAACGTTATGTGTGGCCAATTGAATTATATCGAAAAAATTCAAATCTAAAACTCATTGAAGCGACCCTAATATTGATTTAGGGTTAGATATGGTTTGGGACCTACAAAAATTGGGGGAAACACTATAGTGGTCAAAAGCAAGAGGCAAGCTGAGGTGTTTGTGTTATTTTGTTATGGCCTTTCAAGTCTCCCAATAAAAGATCCTACTTTTTTTTCTTTTTTTTTTCTTTATTATTATTATTATTATTTATAAAAAAAAAAAAAAAAAAAAAAAAAAAAAACTTCTATTTGACATAATTGTCCCCAACATTGTGAGTGCGAGCAGTTGGAGAGAGACGTGTTTTTAAAAATCTTGAAAGAAAAGCTAAAAGAAAACTATATCGGCTAGCCGTATGCTCGTAGGATGAATTTGTTTAATACCATTTTTAAAATATATATTTGAGTTTATAAATATTAAAATTTTGGGGAAAATAGATTTTATACAGAAAAAGAAAGGGAGAGATATAAAACTCTAAGCCTTACCCAATGGATTGGATTCATAAATGGGCTTTTCAGCCCAAGTTGAAGTAAAATCTCGGTCCAATTCACGTCCGGGCTATTCATCCCCAAGCCCGGTCCAAATAATGAGTCCAGGCCCAATAAAAATATTTGTTCCATTTTGGCCTACCACCCGATATCTACGGGAGTATTTTAATTAACAATTTGTTAGTGAAGTAGTTATACCAATACCATACCATAATTGATAATAAAGTATATAAATATAATTTAAAATAAAGTACTATTTACCAATAATTGTTTTTCACCTTTTTTATATTTTAAATTATCAACCATAAAATTGATAGCTTGTGATAGCCCTTTCCACCTAACATATAATTTTATTCGTGGGACCATGCTGTTAGTGTGGGATAAGGTAATTATTATTTTTAATTATTTCTCAAATTTATTCTAATCATAATTCCTCAATTTATAGTCCACATACTCTAAAAATTAATTCAAACTAGCTTTAAATCCCATTTTAAAATAAAGTTTAGAAAATAAAATAAAAACTTCATTACAAATATAATTAAAAATTTAGAGATTAAAATATAATTAAATGAAAAATTGAAGGAGTAAAATGAAATTGAGGTCGTTTGGGGAAATTTTCAAGGAAATTACGTATTGGGACACCGAAATTTCGCTGGCTTAGATAAAGCGACCAAGGGATATGCCCATCCATACATGTAGTGCACTAAAGAATAACCAATGAAACAAACCCCCAGGCGTCACTACGGCATGCTCAAATTCACGCGCCAAATCCAGCCGTAAAATTCCTTACAAGCACCGGCCATCGCCGCAAGTACGTCGTCGTTTCTCGCTAAGCGCGTGAGGGTAATGACAAGCAGGTGTTGTGGGCAAAATTTTTCATGGATGACGTGAACCAAATGACGTCATAGCTTAGATTCGAAGTTTATAATCCAACGGTGGAAAACGAAGAGAGCAGCAATATAACTGATTTAAGAAGGTAGATAATTGGACACACAAGAAAATGGCCTCTCCTACAAATCTCCGACACTGAATTCAAAGATTTTGGGGTGAGAGGTGAAGAGACCTGATCTGATCTGATCGGCGCGTGGAAATGGAGAGAGAGAAGAGGAAGAAAATGTCGCCGGGAGAGAAAGAGACGAGGAAGAGCAAGAAGGCGAGGAAGGAAGAGAGAGAGGCGGAGGCGGGTGTGGAGACGGAGATGGAGGAGCCGACGACGGAGGAGGTGGAGGAGTTCTATGCCATTTTGAGGAGGATGGATGTGGCTTTACGGTACTTGAAAGGGAAGAGGGTAGTGGAAAGAAGAACGACGGCGGTGGTTTTCACCGGAGAGGGCCAGGAAAATAAGGAACTGAATTTGAATGAAGTGCCTGCTGATTCTACTAATTAATTTTGGTTACTTGTTTCCTTCCTTCATCTTATGCTCAATTGCTAATCCACTTACTGTAATCTTAATCCTAAAATCATATTTTAAATAAATAACCTAAATTTCATGTTTTTCTTCCTTCAAAATTAAATGATAAATGAAATGTAATCAAACATCTTAGATAAGCCATTGATTTTCGTATAAACTCATGGACGCAAGTGAATTATTTGCACTAACGTAACAAATCCAACATTCCACGAAGAACTGTAGTAAGACAAAGTGATTTCATCAAAGCACTTTATTCCACATAAACTTGCAAAGGAAAATTTTAGAAACCAAGACTTAAATAGAGCAACACACCAACACTCTTGTTCTAACCTAGCAAACAAACTTGTCCCGATTATTATTTTTCAACTTGTCGTGAGTGAAGTACATCCGTTTCACTTAAAAGTTATACATTGGCTAATTTAGAGAATGATCTTGAGTTTATAAACAAATAATACTCTCTCTATTGGATTGAAAACTTAGGCTCAGAGTGGACAATATCATAAGTTTGTGGAAAGTCATGTTTGTCTAACAAAATGGACCAAAAGAACCTATTAGATTTTAGCCGGGTTTGAATTCGTACGACATGAGAATCAATTTATTTTTTAATTGAAAGTTAGGCATTAACATTAATTTCTTATTCAAACTTAAATCCCAAAACTTATATTAAAAAAAGACTTCAAATCCCAGGGTTGCAGTCAGGAAATTTTCCACCGTTTAAATTTAAATAAAAGAAGCAACTTGTCATTATTTATTTATTTATTTATTATTATTATTTCGAAGAACTTAAACCAATATTCCATAAACTATAGACAGCCAATTTTTCATTTTTTATTTTTTAATGTCAATAATTTCCCGTAACC